TAGCATATCTCTTGTGGTTACGGGAGTCTGGTACACTTTTTTCTTTTAGAAATCTCAACACAAGGAAATCTAATGGATTTAGGTCAGGGGATCGTGGAGGCCAGGCGACTGGTCCTCCACGGCCGATCCATCTTCTGGATAATTTTCGTCCAGCCAGTTTCTAACTATTCTCGAATAGTGAGCTGGACAACCATCAAGCTGGAACCAGGCCAATCTTCTTAAATCTAACATAACATCATCCCACATATTTGCATGTTCAGCCTTTAAAAATTCCAAGAAGGTCGCAGCATTTAACCTTGCAGGCAAAAGGTAGGGTCCAAATAGTCGATTACGGTAGATACCAATCCACACGTTCACACTAAACTCATGCTGAAAATTTCTTTCCCGAACTGCATGCGGATTTTCATGCGACCAAATATGTTGATTATGAAAATTTACCACTCGACGTCTAGTGAAGCATGACTCATCGGTCCATAAAATGTTACTTAAAAACTTCCTATTATTATCAGTTCTATCAAAAATCCGCTGACAAAATGTGATTCTTCGTTCTCCGTCCCCTGGCTGTAGTCCTCGCACAGGCTGCAAATGGTAAGGACGTCTATGGTCATTTCTAAGAACACGGTGAACATGACTTGCTGAAATTCCCAAGGCACCAGAAACTCTCCTAACACTTGTGGTCGGATCTCTATCAAACTCACGCAGAATCATACGGGTAAATCTGCGCTGACGAACATTTATGTTTTGATCCCTTTGGAGATTTCCAAAACCATTTTCAATTATTTGGCGATGCACTCTTACAAATACTGAGCGAGTTGGATGTCGTCTGTTTGGATATCTTCGTGCGTATTCTCTGGCTACCTCTGCTGCGTTTCCATTTACAAAGCCATACACAAAATGAATATCCGCCAACTCTTGATTGGAGAATAAAAATGGCATTTTTATAAACTTACAAAAAAAAAACAGGTAAAAGAAACTAAATTTCGTGCATTCACAATTGCAAAAAAACGCTTCAGGTTTCAACAGACAACAAAACTGTCAACTAATTGACGTTTAACCATATTCTGCTTTCAATTTCAAAAATATTTGCAGGTACAGCCTACTTCTAAAAATTATCGAGATACTAACTTTTTAACGTTATTTTATCATAAATAATTAAAAATGCATCGAACCTTAAAAATCGAAATATCTCAAAAACGGCTAACTATAACGAAAATTTACAAGAGAGCTTTTTTATGCTGAAAAGTGCGAAGAATCAGTTTCTTTATTCAAAAAGCAAAAAATTGCACTAAGAAAAAATTTTCGGTCATTTTAATACACTACAGGTACAGTAGAGAGCGCCCTCTAGCGGCTACAGTAAAACTATGCCCATGGTTCGTTTGGTCATACCAAAAAACCCTTGTATACCAATGTTCACTGTTATGCATCAAATATTGTTCGAAATATTTAAAAAAAGCTATTTTAGAAAGTAAATTTAAACACCCTGTATTTCGGAAGCCACGCATTTTTCGACCCATGTTTATATAGACTTTATGCATTAATTTTAAAAGTTCTGTAGAATCTTAAAGTTATGCAGCAATAAACTGAAACACCCTGTATGACTGTGTGTACATAGCCTAATGAAATACCAGTCGCAGCAAGAATGTTGCGTAATGCAGTATTGGATTTATACCAAAATGACCCAACTTGAGCGGCTGCATCCAAAACTCTCCGATGATCACGTTTTTCATTTACAACAGGTCCAGTTTGCGAAAAATTTAGTGACAGGGTCCTACCTACCTATGAGAAGTTATCTACCCCGGATGTCTGGCGTTAAACGTGACGGCAGTTTGCCGAGCACATCGATTTGGGGCACCATAAATTAGAATCATGTCCACTCTTTCGGATTATGTATAAACCATTTTGAAAGAAAAAATTAAATCAATAAATTAATTTTCACTACCCCAAGACTGTTACAAAGGTAACTGACAGCAAATTAAATTCTTTCTTTCCCTTAGCAACAAATAACTAAACAGGTATAACGATAAATACAGTTTGCACAGGATATCTGTGTTGATGAAAAGAAACGGGTTGATAGTTGGTTGTTGCCACGTTGCGCAATGCTGTTTATGTTGGTAATTCCAGTTTTAAATTATAAACGAATTGCAGATTTGGCAAACCCTGAAGGGCAACATTTTAAACAATTATTGGAATAAAAAGTGATATTACCTTGTGTTTTGTTTACTATCTTGTGTAAATAAAGATTTTTATAATTTTCTCTAAAATGAATCAACTGACTTTAAAAAATCAAACGTCAAATTGTAGGACTTCGAAAGACCTTTCAAACAAGCTACTACTCGATACCCTTGTCATTTAAAAATTATAAAGGAATTACCCTGGGGGCCGAGGCTGAAAGGGGGTGAAGTAGTTTGTAATTAAAAAGTTGCCCCCCTTGACAAATCTCTTGCTGTGTCTTGCCGTATTTTCTTTTAATCAGTGGCTTTCGATAACTCCGTGGTGGGAAGTTTTCAAATGAACACCCTGTATATTTGTATTAGTCTGCAAAACGTATGTAATGCGTATGATATCCGTTTGGTATGCTGATCCATAGAATGTTAATTATAATAATAAAGGCGTCTTTATTTGCTATAATTACATAGTAACAATCCTTTAGGGTTAACCTATTTGGCAAACGAGACGCAACGTACGTTCTTAAGTTAATGGTCCTATAGGAAGATAATATCACAAAGAATTTCGAATACTTTTTCCTAAACGATAGTTAAAAACATGAAATTGTAAAAATAATACATTCGAGAATAGAGTATATCGAAAGGATAAGATAATCATACTGAGCGTATTGATGTATTGATGACACGACTGTCAACCTACAGTAAAAATCACGAAAGATGACTATTACGTCATACCATAAACTGTACTGAAGTACTCAATGCACGTACATCCATGATAAAATCACAATCTCATGAATTTATATTATGATTTTGCGAAGTTAGGTAATTTCACTGATTATCTTAATTTTTATTTTATTTCATGGTTTTAAGTGATACCTTAATAATAAGTTTAGTGGGGCGTTTTTGTTTTGAAAAAACAGTTATGGGTGAATACACTTTAAGACATTAACACCATTAACACCAAAGACCAAATTATTCGAAAACAACCTAACCTGGTCGAACATAACTATTCATCTTTCAATTATGATCGATCATGCAACATGAAAACATCGTCTATCTTTGTCGGATACATGCAAATTAGCAATACAGTTTGTTTAGACAATAAAAATGTTTGTCTCTGTTCAACATATTTGGAACTTTATTAAAAATATTCACAAATCGCTTAGGTTGATCTTTACTACAGACTAAAATGATGACGTAATCATCATCTTTCGTGATTTCGACTATATCTACTATATACATAGGTCTTTGTTCGGTTTTTGGAAGAACACAGTGAAACTATAGGAATTACATTCATATATCTACCCTCCTCACACATACACATACAATTGGCATTTGTGCATGAACGTTTGTTTGTGTAAGCTCACAGACATACGTTTTCTAATTATATCTCACCAACGTGTAAGTCTTCCACATGTATGCACTGTCACTGTCAGTATGACAACTTGATTGCTGCGCGCTTTCGATTTGAGTTTATCTCTGCGATATAGCAATGTTTTAAGATACAAATTCAATATCGACAGTCAAATATCATTGGATGTGAACGAAAACAATGATTCTCTATCTCCCAATGCATATATGTGTGCAAGAGCGCATAGCAGCTGCATTTAGGATCAGCTAACGCAGTTGGTTCGGAATTTCCCTTAGGAAGGTCAATCTCTGCAGATCATATTAACCCTATTTTATGAGCATCCAACACACTTCGACGTCTACTGACGTGAACAGCTGTGACATTTTTGTATTAGTCTGCGACGTTGGCAATACTGAATCAGGTGTAAATCTAGTAAAACTTGTTTTAACGTTTTGTTTTTTGTACGCAAATGCAATTTTCTAAATGAACAAGCTGTTAGCAAGTACAAACTGAATCTGTAGCATCCAAAAAACCGAAACATAATACGGCTCTGACTACCTGACGTTGACGGATCCGTCAGAGTTATGTGTCCGAAATGGGGAATTTTGAGATGTTACCAGAATCAGCTGTCATTCTACCGTGATGGATCTCGTGAAATAGGGTATAGTTCGTCAATCTGTTTCATTATTCCCGTTACATTCATCAATACACTGTCAATAAATATTAATTAAACAAAGAGTGTTTTGTATGTTTTTGTATGTCTGCTTCATCAATGCATTTTCCAATTCTTTATAACCTTTCAAAAATATCTTATTCCCTACACCAGTAAATCATTTACTATGGTATTAACGTAAATAGGTTTTAAATCTTTAATAATGAATTTTAACAATCATCAGTTTTTCATATTTTGAGATCACTTGTCTTGAAACAGGAGTTCAACGATGTAAGTAGTTCTTTGTAATTATTGTAATTATTATTGTTGTCGAAATATTTTTGTATAGAGTCCTGAAGAAGAGAATTTTTGATAGCTTGACATGAACAACTGAACTTTCTCTCTGGCCCTCTAACATTAGATCGCTATTGATGCAATCTCAAGAGTTTCGTATTTTGCATCTTAACGTGTAAATCAAGACTACCCTCACAATGTGTTAACTTTGTCGTATACTTCCCTATTTTGCAAGGAATCCTTAACATAGAAGCTGAAACACAAGAATATAGAAGCTGCCCTTTGCATGCAAAATAACTTTTGACGAACTATTTTTGTGACGATTTTCACCCTTTGGCAGGAATATGATAAAAACGTGACACTTTTATGTCTTATCTTTCATATATGATCTGTAAAGGTGCATTATGACTGGACTAAGTGTTAATTAGGCAGGTCATATTCAATATTTAAATGAATCTGAGGGATTTTGTAGCGCTGAGTGGGCATTTAGGACGGATCTGGGCTGGTAAACATTTTAATTGGGAAATTATCTTTACAGGGCCGCAAGCTGTGACAATGAGAATGGTCACTCATTGTTCAGATGGGTACAACGGTGGTAGATCGATGGCTGGTGAGTAAAAACACATTTCATTACCTAAATTTGCTCCATAAGCGAAATTGTTGTTTCCAGCATTACTAGAAATTGTCAATTTATTTTTCTTCGAGATGTTACTTTAAGGGCCGATTTCACAATCTAACAAACCAATATTTTGCACCAATAGGATGCGAGTACCATACAGTTCGTTATATACACCCAGTCAGCCTCAAGATCTCTCCGTCAAATTTTTGGCAGCAAATAGCTTAAAAGTATTCAAAACAAAACACTGTAAAATATGAAGTGACAGCTTGCCACTGAAATGTTTTCAGTTTATCAAATATTATAGAATTATATAAAACTGAGCTAAAATTTAACAAAAAATACTTGATGTCTGAGTAAAATCCAGTTTTTTCAGTTTAGCTGAAGGTTTCTCCATGTTTATTGCAACTTTTGTAATTCATATGTGATTATTACATCACATCACATCACCTACCGTGTGTCTATAGTTTATTATACATTTGCAAATTTGCACTTCCAGACCGTTACATGAAAAAGCCTTTTCTCTCAAAATTTTTTTAGGTGTTGTGTTTTAACACATTCATACACTTCTTTCCAGTTCCTCAACGATATTTTAACACCACTGGTGCGAAACTGTTCAACATTTTCAACAATCATACATACCATTGCAGTTGCAGTTTCTTGTTTTGATTTCAGTGTATAATCAGTCACACTATCGGCGATGGTACATGGTATCAACATAACCACGTGTTTGGCGGTTAGTGCAGACTTACCGTGTACACGATAGTGTAATATGTATTCATCCTGACCACTGCATCCCCACCGCTAGGCGATCTGTATGTTAAATTTGTGTTGATACGGCAGCGGGTTGTGCTGTTAGTCATATGTCAGAGTTTTTGTGCACTGATTGCAACGGTTACATAATATCAAAAATATTTTCATAAATAGGAGACCTTTCCCATTCGGGATCGAACCATCTACCAAAGATGGTTATAATCATGATACGTAGTAAATTTTCCTGAAAAATCCGCTATACATAGGTATATCAGAGCTTTCTTATATTTGTTCATCAATTTGATGGTACAACACATCTGCCAAAGATGATCATAATCAGGATAGTAAACTATGACGAAGATCCACTGTAAGTATGAATTTTGAGATACTTCATTTGTAATTTGAAGATACAGCAGACCATGATGGTGTTCACAATTTTCAAATATTCTTCAAGAACTGATGTCAGTCTAGCTCCAACTATCATAAGTACCATGTTTGTGTTCCTACTTTATATTCAAAACCAGCAAATGTAAAAGATTCATCTCGTACCCTCCACCACGGGACGTGATCGTCGTTAGACTTGGCAACCCTGTGAGTGGCAGATGGATATCCCCGTCAGTCAAACAATAAACATTATTAGGTTTTATGATTTTTTGACTTAAAAGACGTGATTTGTGAGAAATTTTTCATAATTTTTTGTCTATGTCTATATTAAATGCATTATGCATCACGAAGATGTAGGGATTGACACGTCTTACACATATTATTTTAGGATGCTGAGGACATAACGTTTTTATTGCTTTGAAAAAATTCATTAACCCATAAATTAGTAAATGATTACTATTTTGATGTAAAGGAAGATGAGGGATTTTTTGGAATGTATTTTATATTCTATTTCACTCTACCCTAATAACGAGATTGAGAATAAATCATGGTAGATTCGGAGACCACCTTTACAGAATTACATTGATAATAACTGGTGCGACTGTGACAACACCAAAGTAGCAGATTTAAACCATATTTTCTTTGAATGCACATGAAATGAGCCTCATGTTTCTAATTTTATACATAGATTAATTTTGGAGGATCGAATATCACTTCCAATCCAGTTGTCATCATTGCTAAGTTTAAAAGAAAGTCCATCCTGGACAAAAAAGTTGAGTTCGCAAAGTTAGCTAAAGTGGTGATATAATGCACCACGTAATACAAATTTAAAAAATCTGTGGCTGATGGAATTTTTTCCAAAGCCAACCCCTCCCCCCCTACATACATATTCTATTTTCTTGCAAAATACCCACAAATACACACTATTCAACAGGTATATATCTATAATGATAACATATAAACACTCAGTATATTGAACTTAACAAATTCGAGATTGCTATGAATTAACAAACGTCCAAACCTGCTGTTAAATTTAACAGCTAGAAAATCGACCTACTATTTGCCGCATTCCCCTTGACATAGGGGATAACGGATTGTTATATGTAAATTTATAACAGAAATCAAAATACGTGAAAGTTGTCCTGTTTTCTCTGTGCAAAAGCATCATTTTAGAATCAAAAAGTGGTCTTGTTTATAATACAGTCGAATTTTCACGATCTTATTCAATATTTTAATAGAAATCACTGATATTCAGAGACCTTTGACAGCTTCCGTCAAATTGCATTTCGATAAGGTATTTTCCCGTTGCTCCATTAAATATTAATGTTGGTGAAATTGGCCCCAAATCTGTTATTATCACACCATTTTAATTTTAAATTATAGTCTTGTGCATAAGCATCCAACCTTCTCGCCAATCTCGAACAATTTCAGCTACTCCATAATTATACAGAGTGCTGTCGTTACCACTTTAGTAGTTATAATGACCAAAATAAGTGCCCATTACACACCTTGAAGGAAATCTGTGAAATAAAGGAAGGCACCATCTTCCTTCAAAGGGATTTTTTATAATTATTTTATTATTCGCAACTAAGAATACATTTGATGCAAGTGAGGTGTCCTCAGGATAAAAATCTACCATTTGGAGGGGTGACATCATACTGATGACATCTAGAGTCCTAGTCCACCTGAGTGTATTATCGAGCTCTGTCCTTCAATCATAATGCAATGAATTAACGTGAAGGAATATATGCAAACTAGCTATTAGAGTCCGGTTGGTCACAAGGGTTGTTTTAATCGAATCCAATCCCGAAGGAAATGGGGATGACGACGCAGTTGACAGTGAGGTGAAGGGGGAGGGGAGGCATTAACGATCTCATTCAAAGCCTGCGATCGTAATTATTAATGAATAGACACAGTTAGTGTCAATCGGTGCGCACAGTCGATTATTCAAATACAGTTTCAGCTCTCGTTTCGTATTATGCGATAAACGCCGCTGCAATTCAATACAAATTAACGTCAACTTACGTAGAGGGCATGCGAAATTGATAGGCGCAGACGTTCAATTGGACATAATTGCAAAATTGAGCACAGGATAAAGCGTTGCGGTTTAATTTCCTTCCAGCCCTTCACCTAAAAATTGTAGCTTCAATACTAATATCGTTCTACAAATTTCGTTCTCTATTTGTACCCAACACCACTTTTCCCATAATTTATCTAAGGCTACCAATATATTCAGCAAGCTCATCCATGCATGAAAATTAGATGAGAAAACACAAAAAAGCTTAGTCGTAATTGTTATCCTTTATTATCACAATGAACAAAAGTTTTTTACGTATACTATAATTGTATGAAATTTCTTTCAATCTTCCTGCTGTAAGAGCTCCAACCCATCGGTAGACCATTTTCTAGAAAGCAAAATATTACAAACAATAATAATGAGGTAAAGTATTTAGCAGAACTGCAACAGTGCGCTGTAAGAATATAAGATAAAGAATGCACACGTCCTATGGTAAAAAAATAACAGACTTTATTGCAGGAACGAAGAGTGGTTACAAGTATTGAACAAAATCTGTCTGTGCCTCGATATAATTCTAATCTTCTTAGGAAAAATAACAGAGCTGTATTGAACAAAAAGAAGTAAAAAGCAAATATTTCTTAATGGGCTTGCTTGCCATACAATTCAATTTGTTGGAATAATGGGCTTGTACCACATTACTCCTCCCTCCTACGAAAGGTTGGTCTCCAACTTAGAGAAAATTTAATTTACAGTTACAATATGGTTCCAAAGCTGTAAGAGTCGTAAGAAAGGTTTTGCAACTTAGTATGAACTATTATTTCCAAATGATTTTGGTAATAAGAATGATTTAAAAAGTTAAAATTACTTTCAAGTAAAGGCAATGATAATTCAATCTGCTTGCAGTCTTTAATATCAATTGAAATATTAGTATTAATAGTATTTTAAGTGAATATGAGGACAATTTTCCAACATAGATGGCTTACATGTGCCTGTTTAGTAATTAAAAACATAAATGCGGATTGTTACTTAGTTTGATTAAATTGGAGCAAAATCTTTCTTCTTCATATTACAAAGTTAAATTGCTTGGGATCTTTATTAATTCATTCCTTACAATTAACGGATACAATTCAAAAACACTGTAAGTTTTTACGGTCAAGAAGAGGTACATGAATTACGAATATGATTCATTTCGCAAAGTTACAATTGATAGTTCGCAAAGATTCAGTATCTCAAAAGGGTGCATTGTTTCAAAATCTAACAGATGATCTTTATGGTATAAAGTTTGCAAATGTTCAATGAGGATATTTATTTCCCTATGATTTAATGAAAGAATAGATAGGACGCTCAAATGATTAATTTGAATTTAAATTTATTAGATGTGCGATTTGCTCGAAGAATTTCATTTGAAAAGCCATATTTTGTGTAACAGAAACTATGCTTTCTTGGATATTGATAGTATTGTGCTCAAAAGTGCCTTGCAAACCTTTACAGAAGAAAATAACTTTTTAATTCTGCAGATTCAATGCGTGTTGATTTTCATGTAGTTTTGGATCGGTTATGTAATTTAAATTAATAAGGAATTGAGTTTTATGACGATTTTCGATTAATCTTGAATTTCCTAGCGGCAGTTTGATTACCGGAGGTGCTTTGAGCAGAGGGTTCATCAGTAGCGCTCGAATTGGTAGGCATTGCACTGGTAAAGCTCTGTAAAGGATTTTTACGTTGAGGCTTGATTCGTCTCAACATGTGTTTTCTATCTTTGATTAAAATTTGATTTCCTTGTTGTTTGAAAATAGTGTGTTTTTGATATTTTGGTTTGTCGTTAGTTTGTCTGATTGGGATTTTGACATAGATCGGAGATTTTAAAACGGGGATCTTAGATACGCGTTTTTCGTTAATTTCGTTAGTTTGTTTTTTTAATTGATTATAAGAATCGTGAGCGATTTGTTCATTAATTTTGTCTTTTTCTAATATTTGTTTAAGATGTGATGAATAAGGATCTTCAGTACTACCGTATAATAAATCAAAAGGTGTATGTTTTGTAGTAGAATGAACAGATTGATTGTAATTTAATATAACGTCAGTCATTAGGTCAGTAGTAGTGTCTATTTTTCGAGTATGTCTTGGGATTCGAAATTTTTCTCCAATGGTACTATGTAATCGTTCAATTGGTGCAATAGAACTAGGATTGCTGGTGCTTCCTAAGTGCAAATGTATTTCATGAGCTTTACAATAATCTTTAATAACTTCTGAACGTAATTCTCCATAATCGGCATGAAGTGACTTTGGAAATCCATGATGTGAAAAGAAATGTTTCATTTTAGATAGTATGTCAACGTGATTTCGTGACATGGTCTGATAGGCTTGGGCATATCGACTAAAGTGGTCTATAAAAGTTACATATTTAGTATTTTCAATAGTAAAAATATCTATGAACACTTGTTGGAATGGTTTGTTACTGAAAAATGGGCCTTGGATTGGTTCTTTGTAAGGTTTTCGTTCGTATTTAGCTTTTAAACAGATTTCGCATTTATTAATGATGTCAGTTATAAGGTCTTTAAGTTTTGGTGTATAGTGAGTCTTTTGGAATTGACAATCAGTTTCATTAATTCCGTTGTGAAATTTATGATGGTACAAAGTTATTTCGTCTTTCATTTCTTGTTTGTCTAAATAAATTGGTTTAAATGAAGCTTTTTCTAGTACAATATGTTTTGCAGAAAAAGATTGTGTCATAATTTTACTAAGTATGGGCAAAAGTTTCTGATCGTCGCACCAAATTCCGTATTTAATACCAGGGGTACAATAATTTTTTATACAATAAAAAAGGAATGAGGAACATAAGTGATTAATCAACCAGCGCCTTAGTGTCTTATTCGGAAGTAATTTGATCTTGTTTTCCTTTTTACCTGTTACAAAATTCAATTCGGTGAGGATAGGCATAAAAGTTTTTGTCTGAAAATTGAATCGAGTTTGGGTTTGATTCAGGCGAAGTGTGTCTCGTGTTAGTTGATCTGTTGTCTGTTTCGTGAATAGTCATTTCTGATTCGGGTGCGTTTTGATTACAGTGTTCGGGACTTTACGTGGTATTTTGTCAGTGTGGCAAATAAAGTTTAAACGATCAATGGATAGCAAAAGAGACAGATGCACCAGTGTCTATAAGAACTAGCAAATCTAAATTTTGTAAATAAATGTATGGCAAATGTGTGTTCTCATAATTATTGAGATCTAAGTCAATGGGTTTTGATTTGGAGCTTTCGGAAAATTTTGAGTTGTCTCTTCAGGGGGAAACTCGACAGTAGGGTTACTATCTGAATTTTCATATTCTTGTTGGTCATAATTTTCATAATTTGGATCATAGTATTGCTGTTTATCGTATTCTTGTTCGTTTTGTGATTGTTCGGTCGCTTCGGTGTTGGTTAGTTCTTCAGCGATAAAATTTGGTCTTTGTCCGTGATTTGAGAAAGAGTTAGGACGGTATTGATTCTGTTGTTGCGAGGGGCGGTTCGTAATAGTTGATGTAGACATGGGTGTCGGTTTAAAGTTTTTTGGTGGACCTTGTCTATTTTGTGGATAGAAATTAGGCTGTCGTGGTTGAATTTGTCTTTGAAATTGATTATTAAAATAATTTGGTCTGATGTTAATCGGGCCAGTTGGGAAGTTAGATCGTTGTGGCTGTTGGTAAAATTGCGGATTGTAAAATTGTTGGTTTGAAGGGAATCGCCACATAGGTGTATTTTGAACGGTATTTGTAGGTTTCGGTTTTTGAATGGCGTTAGTATTTTTGGCATTTTGTTTAGTAAATACTTTGCATTGCGATTGTATTTGTAAATTATCGTATTTTTGACAAATTTGTAAGGCAGCTTGAAGAGTTGTAGGTGTTGCGTTAAATAGGAGTGATTTATATGGTTCTATAATACCAGTTACAAATGAATTTAATGCAGCTTCTGTGTAAAGGTCGACTCTAGATTGAGCAACTACATCAGAAAATTCCAAAAGAGCATATTCTCTAAGAATATGTAATTTTTGCAAAATTTGAGTATGAAAATTCATATAGTCTGTGTACTGGGATAAATTTCTAAGTTCATCAAGTAGCATTAATTCGGATTTTGAATCTTTGTAACGTTCTTTGAGAATTTCTTCAAATTCTTGCCAAGTTTGAGGATTATTTCGTTCAACGATAACAGAAGGTTCTCCTTGTAGTTTGGATTTTACGTACGATAAAGCATGAATTTGATATGGGGCATTCAAAGCGGCAACAAATTCTCTAGATTTACGTAAATATACAGATAAATTATTTGATGTTTCAGAAAAAATAGGCACACTATCTTTCAATAGGTTAAATAACATTTGTGGATTGTCAGCCATGGTTGTTCTGAATTCCTCTCTAACGTTAGCTTGTTTTTTTACTGGTGGTTGTCTTCTAAAGGGTGATCGTTCTCATACTGGAGATTTACCAAAAGTTTCTTTGACTAAATAGATAAAATGGATTTGGCTTACTCTAGCGTTATCTGAAAAATCAAATTTTTCGTAACGGAGACTGCTCTGGTTCTTGTAGCTCTCTGTTTCTCTAGGCTCGTTCTGCAGGGACCTCGGACGTGGCTCTCAGGTTCTCAGATGGTTTCTCTTACGGAAGTGGATACTTCCTACCTCACAATGGTTGGTCACACAGAAGGGACGTAGTTCAGCTCACCTGATGAATCTCGAAGATTTTACTGATGGTTGGCTGGGCTCGTACAAACTTCCAGATGTTTTCCACGAAGGCGTATAACTATCCTGTTCGCAGCGCCAGATAAAGAATGCACACGTCGTATGGTAAAAAAATAACAGACTTTATTGCAGGAACGAAGAGTGGTTACAAGTATTGAACAAAATCTGTCTGGGCCTCGATATAATTATAGGAAAAATAACAGAGCTGTATCGAAAAAAAAGAAGTAAAAAGCAAATATTTCTTAATGGGCTTGCTTGCCATACAAGTCAATTTGTTGGAATAATGGGCTTGTACCACATAGTTATGTTACCAACAGGATTCCATAACTTATATTGCTACTGTTAGTTTGAATACTTTAGCACTTGGTGGGATTGTAATGAAACATTTTGCAGTCCGGAAACGGCATTACGAAACATCGCAGGTTGAATGTTGAACATATGTTTTATCTCTAGAGCTGTCTAATACCCTCAGAATAACTAAGATGACGTTAAGGTAATATGCTTTTGTCGACATACTGGTATTTTCAATGAATGATCAGTTTTTGATATGCCACTAAAATAGAAACTAAGAAAATAATAGCCTATACGCATTATATTTATATCTAATAAATATAGCAGTGAAGTTTTTATGCTTTCAGTAGGATGACAACCATCATAGAATTATGGGTTATTCCATTGCGGTAAAAAGTATTTATTTCTAGTAATTTTTGCTTATAAAAAAGCTGCATTCTCAAGGCAAAAGGTATCAGAATAGCTCAAAAAATCACTGCTCCAATTTTGATTAACGCTTTGTAAACAGTCTATATAAACATAATCAGAAAACCGCCTTAAACGCTACGTTCTCACAGAGTAAAGATATATAAACGCATGTATACATGCTTTCGATCCCTCTTTCGTGACTCTTGTCTTAATTAGGGAGTGAAAATCAAGCCAGTGGGGATCGTGAACAGTTCATACAATCGTGCATGGAGAAATTTGAGGGAACACAATTTGGAAACGAACATCCTGAAGATATTGACATATTTGCCTAATATGCACACTTCAAAGGTAGATTACGATCTTCCTCGTTCTCGCTTGGCGTGTCCACGCTTGAAGATCAAAAATCGTGGATTTGCAGCTCCTCCTATGACGTCAGAGACAACCTTCTCGTGTAGACGGAGGCAATTCCTGGAAAGCGATGATCACGCTAGCGTTTCAAATTTTTTACTTTTTGCCCTTACCAGATTGACGTACCGATATTAGTGTTGTACGCTGAGATGACTAATAAAATTCTCTGATCATCCACCTAAAGCGGCTATCTTTCTGGCGGAATTGACAATTTTTGTAAACATCTATCCTCACTTATCCTTTAAACACCAACGGAAAATTAGTTATGAGAATCGACGACACATTTTAAATCCTGTTTGTTTTCAACAAATTTGTCTTCAATTTAATTAAAATGATCCCAAATGTTGTACAGGTGAATAGCTCTTCAAGTGTCTGACCATCCGGAAAATTCAATATATGTATATATGTATACACGCAAAAACCAGCGAGCTGTTCCTGGTTTCAGCGTTATTAATTTAGCCGGATGTTTTCAAAGAGTACTTTGCATGAAAATGGCCGCCCGATTGGCTTTGTGCATGTTTATAATTTCGATAAAAGTGCTGTTTAAATATCGTCGGCCGTTGTGTGGACTATGTTTCCAGCCGCAAAGCGGTTTTGGGTTAGACGTCAGCATACATTTTGAAATTTTTTCAATACACTTTAAGGCATTCGATTTAATGATGCTGCATGATGACCTTTAATCTGGCATATAAATGAAATCACGGATGTGTGATATACCCGAGAGGTATCATAAGTTTCAAAATTTTGCGCTACTCATGGTGGTATTTTGATATTTTTTGTAGATTCAAAATACTGTATAGAAATACGGTTTTGCAAAATTTGAATAATCCACCATTAAGTTCGTGAGATAGTCCTTATTATATTTACGTGGGTTCCCATGGGAAACTTCATTATTTACCATATCAGTTATTTTTCCATAAGAAACCAATTTATAAGAACGTTGAAATATTGACGATCAAAAATTTGATATAGGGGAGAGAGAACATTTCTTATTTCTTTCGATTCAGTGACTGAACTATTGAGTATTTTAATTGCAAAGGGCTTCTGAATGAGTAATCATATATTTGAAAATATATTTCCAGAACATTTTTTTCCTGAATCTATAATTAATTTATATTTATAGAATTTTTTGTGGAAAGAGTCGGTTGTTGCAACTTACCCCGTTTTTGGAGCAACTGATAAAATTATATTAAAGCAACAAGTTGCTTTATTTAGAGCTTGTATTATAGAATCAACATACACATAATAAGGCAATTGTATTTCTTACGAACTAAGGAGGTGAATACTGATCGTTTTCTTTAGTAACGGTAGTCATCTTAGGTTAATTTTGCCTATTAATAAACTCAATGATCAGTGAACATATTTTTTATAATTACCTTATCACTTTATATAACAATTCTTTATTTTTTGTATTTACTTAACTATCACAATCAATGGCGCGACCTACATAAGAGTTTAAAGAAATGATCTCAACTAATTTCACTAACCTTGACTATTCAAAACACATATAACATATAATCAGTATGGAAAGGAAAACAAATTCGTAAAAAAGTAGATAATGTTTAATGCAAATTATTTCTGTCTTCATCAGACTCACAATTAATAGAAATGCACGAAACAGGATCACCTCTTACAGATTTAACGTGTGACCACAGTTTACAGATAATACACACGACCCAATCTTATTTGTCTGATTTTCTATATTCTTCTCTTCTTCTTCAGAGTCTGACTTTTCATGTTTCTTTCACTTCATCAATCTTGGTCTTTTTAGATCTATTCGACTTGAATTTACTTTTATCCTTGCCCGTTTCTTTGTTTTTTGATTTAGCTTCTTGTTTCTGTTTTTTTTTATAAATTTAAGCGGTAATTTTCTCTACCTGCTCTGGTGAGAATACTTGCCTTGGTTTGATATACCTACAGTAAGAAGACATTGTCCTTCTTCTTTGTGTCTGAAAGAAACACGTCAAAGCTCAAATATGGAAACAGGCATGGTCGCCTTGCTAAATAGGGTTTCCAAGCATCTGGAGAAATAGCAAAGATGGAGTTCAAGTACTTCCTGAATATACTTTTGCGCTGGCATCCCTCTGCTAATAAAAGCTAGAAATGACTTAGCACCATATGTCGCGGCGCTTCAAGTGTTTTTATACTTAAGGCTTGCTTATTCGTCAAAAATAATCAAATAAGTTTACATACATTGAAGATTAGCGAAAAGACCTTCGCAAGAAAAAGGACATAAGTATCTATCGCTAATTATAATCTAAGCACTTATCGTAAAAATCCTGAGTATACGTGTGCAGCCATATAGAATCAACTGCCCGAATGATATTTAAACCTTGGTTACTACCAAGTCTATCAAAACACGTTCGCAAGCATTTTTGGCAGAAAATAGTTGTTTTTGTACAAGGAAAAAAATACTAGACTTTGAAATCCAGTATTTTTCCCATGTATAATACAAAAACTTTTTCCGTGACGGGAAAACGATAATTCAATATTGAAAAATTATATTATTACAATATTTAAGTCAGAAAATTATCGACGTTAAATATGAATTTTTAAATTAGCAGGCTACGTTGTACTTATAGCGATAATTAGACTTGAATTGCTAGGGAGATTTTTACAGTAATCAAATAGCTGTCAATTTAATTTTGTGATTTGATTTGAAAATTGTTAACTTAGTGGTTGTTGAGAAATTATTTTTAATATATTATTATTATTATTAACCAAGTAATTTTAGTAAAGCCACTTAAAGGATTTAATTAGCTATGTGACAGCTAACAAGTTTTAATCTTCAATTTCTAAAACAATTTACTTGAGTCTATGAAACTAGTTTAACTAAATCAAAACGCTATCGTTTAATCAAACTTTTCAAACCATTTACTTAGCTTGAGTACCTCAATTTATTTAAAAACACTGAAGTATCAAAATGAGCTCACTTGATATAAGTAGAACAATTCAATTATATTTATTAAACTGGTTTAATTAGTTTAGGTAAAAGTATTTCAATAAATTATTTTATTTAGGTTAAAAGGTATATTGGGATGTTTTCAGTTTAAAATAAAAATTTTACTGAATTCCCGCGATTCAAATGAGCAGTTTAACTATCTTTATACAAAAGTTTGTTTTAAATGTACCTTTTCTGCATACACTAGATTACCTAAACTCATGAAACAGCTTAATTAAGCACGTACATGGTTTAGTGTTTTCAAGCAAATTAGTTTAATAGTGTATTACTTTTTATCAAACTGGTTCCAGAAAATTCAATTTAATTATGCCGAATAATTTAGTTACTAGGAGTAATTGAAAAATTCAGTACGGCTAATGACAAATTTCCAGAAAAACTGTTTAATTGATATTGTTTTCTCAGTGTGACGATTTACGAAAAATTCTGTTTATTGTGATTGGCTAAATACCATTCACAACGTGCGACTCACAGAGCAACGACACGACATGGCCCACTGCTCCTAAAAACAAGAAAAAGCTACAGAGCAGGAGCCGAGTATTCAACGACAGCAGGAGCAGCGGCAACAGCAGCTATTGTTATTAAATAAGTGTGAAACGAAGTGAAAATAATCGGGAACAGTCTGGTGCCGCGTTCAATAAGGACTCCACCGGAACGAGCGACGGGACGACCTGCTGTTACGTCTTGTACTTTTTAAATAAATTTCAGGATCGGATGGATTCCTTTTCAGTAGCGACGACCGTAATGCGCGATTTTGTCGCCTACCGAGAAATTCTAATTTTTCCCAGTTCCGTGGTTCTGTCTGGCTCAAGTGATGTCGGTAATTCTCTTTACTTTCGCTTTCTTCTGATTATGTTGGAAAATTGCTAAGAATACGGAATCATCGATGTATGTGCATTTGTGTTTGAATTATAAAATTTATTTTAACAGAAAATATCATTTTTCCGTCTGTCCCCGAATCCTTGGACGGTCTACAACAATATGTCTGTACCACTGACGATATGTAGATGATAGGCATTTCCGTTCATTCATGATTAGAAAGGTGGGCCATCCGTTGGTTTCTTTTTTAAATTGGTATTAAAACTACACACCTCAATAATATGTAACACTCGATGCTTTATTCAAGAAAATACACCTTCCGATTATTTATGAAAAACAATTTCAGTTAAATGGCTGCCGCGGCGGATCTGGCAGTA